AATGGAATGGAGGGGCAGAAAGAGATCGTGAAAAAACAAGAAATTACTTACAAAATACGCTGGAAAATGTAATCGATTAGATTCATTTTTTCGCAAAAGTACACCTACTGAGGTGGCTGATAGCAAAGATGGTCAATTGTTAGTCGGAGATCCAAAATCTGAAAGTAAGTGGATTAATCATTTTTAATTTATATAATGTTGAGGCTTAGTATTTTTCTAGATTTAACTATAAGTGCTTAGAAAACAATATTGTGTACCATAAATATATTTATAAAATTTATAAGTATTTACTGTATAGCAGACTTTATTGTAAGGTGCAGTAGGACACTAATTGTGCATTAGGAAATATAAAATGTGCAGTTAACTTGACAAATATGTCCAATTGAGAAACACAACATAATTTACTTTGTCGAAGGGATTTAAAATAATATATATATTATTTTATTACATGAAACCATTGGTTAATAGCGAGCAGTTTGTCAATTTTTCGTATAAAGGTTTTTTTTATAAAAGGTTGATAGAGTTAGTATTCAATGTGGGGTGAAGCCCCCCCACTTATCACTGTAACATGTAAAATGTTCTATATATGGTAGGGATCATTTTTAATTTAAAAAAGAGCTGATACTGTAGTTGAGTGGGATACACAAGATGGATTGATAGATTAGAAATTTTAGGATAGATTTTGAGATTATTTTATATTATATAAAAAAAAAATTGTTAGCCTTAAATTGTAATATTATGTTCATAGTAAATCGCATTTAACGCGTGAACTTTTGATTTTGTAAAAAAAATCTGTTGATGAGGACTATAATGAAGAGTCATATATAAGTGACTCTGAAAATGAAGACCTAGAGATTATGGATGTTATGAAACCTTGTAATAAGTCTTGTAAAAATTGTGTAATATGTTGTTATATTTTATTAGTTAAATATCATTTATTTGCAAATGCTTATTAATGCCTACATTAACTATAGCATATTAATACATTTTACCCTCCCCATTACTCAAGTGGCTTGTGAAATGTCATTTTCAACCTTGAAGACTTGAATCTTTTGTGCTGATGGCCATTAAGAATACAATTCTGATGGAAATAGATAACAATACTATAATAAATGCAGTTGGTGAAAAATCTAAGCTTCTATCTAAATTATTGTTATAAATGTATAAATATTTCTTATTATATAATTTTTAATAATTTATAATAGATATTGTTTATTATAAATTATAATTAATATGTTCCTTTATAATAAATACATTTTTTACTAATAACACCTGAACCATTAAAACACAATATATATATATATATATATAATTATTAATATTGCGTTTCTTTTAAGTTTCAACTATACTAATTAAATTTTTTCTGTATTAGTGGTATATTAATATAACATATTATAAAGTAAACGAAATAGCAAAATAATGATTGAAATACTTTTATAGTTATATTATATTGAAAGTATAAATATTATTACAAATAAAATGAAATGTATTTTTATGATTCTATTGAAATAAGCAAACTGAAATGTGTCATTCGAGTTTAGGAAGAAATTTTTTTTCGGTGATTTAATTGGTAAATGGTAGGTGGCCTGGATAAATTTAAATTTCCCGGCCTGAATTTTGTTCCCACTCCACCCCTGTGGGTCCGTAAACTTGAAATCTCTATATCTAATTTAAAACGAGCAAAAACTAGTCAAATATTAATATGAACTTTGGTCAACCTATTTTTCTTAAAGTACTTTAACAATTTTTTGAGTTTTTTTTTAAAAATAAAAATAAAATTTTTGACATTAAAGAGGACCTTCATTTTAATTATTTATGAGATTTATTATAATAAATATATATGTATTATCTATAACTTAAAAATATACAAACTATGTACAAGTGGGCCATTTATTTTCGAGTTAAAATGGTTTATAATTTGTTCTATACTTTGATGTCAATAATGTTAAATTTAATAATAGGTTTCATTCCATTACCAAATATTTTTGGTTGTATATCGATGGTAACGTTTTGACAAATGTCAAAAACAGTAACGTTTTTGTACAGTCAACAGACAGTTATCGCGTATTTGTGTTATTTTTCATTATTTTTGGGAAGCGTAGTAAATGCACGGCTAATTTAACTTTAAATGTAATAAAATGTCATAGCACTTTATGATATATTATGATAACATCATATATTTAATGCTTTACTTCTATTGGTTAAAAAAGAAAAAATATATTTCATTCGGCCACGGAAAAAATGAACTGTTTCATTATTTAATAAAAACAAAATAAACTAAAATCACAACTTGTATAATTTTATTTTTTTATTTTCACCCAGACTACACCACTGAATCCTGTTCTGCATCGTCTTGACTAATCATTCTACACCTGTCATTTTTTTTAAACACAAGTTCTAGTTTTGTAAGACAATAAAACTTGTAACCATATGATTATAGGTACAATTATGCTAAGGTACAAATCCACATAGAAATAACGTTTTTTAATGATCACCGCGGCGATGTGGCTGCAACAAAGTGTACGACGATCAACAGTCTTATAAAGGGTGTCTTACAAGGGTTACATAGCCAGTCTATTCATAGTCGAGCACATTTTCTATCTTTTCCTATATTATATCTTCCATCTTCTACCTTCTTCTATATTCTGATTAAATTCAAGTGTTTTACTCGTATTTGTACGATTTCTAACAATGATGTATGGCGGCGTGATGTTATTGATGTTATGCTCATTGTGTTGCATAATTCACGCAATTTATAATATAAAAAATATACAATATAAAAAAAAACGAATACCTTACATGTGACCTATGTTTTATTTACCCTCTCTAACCTTCTCTTTATTTCTAAGAACGATTTTTGCGCACCAGAGGCGGTTTGGACGTAATTACAAGAGATGTACTGCACTCCCAAAAATATAGGATGGGTGTATTTTTGTAAATTTTTGGAAAACTGTTATTGTTAATATTTAATAATACTACCATGTTTATGGATTATGATGATATTAATATATTATACTTAAAGAATCAGATTGCTAAAGTCCATTGTTATAGCTGATTATATTTTTACAGTTTATACTATTATTATTAAAATTATTAAAATATATTAAGAAGAAGAAGTGTCTGTCGTCACGGAAAAAATTAATCGAAAATATTAATGACGTGAGACATGTAACTTTTATAAATAAAATGTTATCATTGTAAATATATAGTGTAATCACGATCACAGGTATTGCTAAATATCTTAGGCATTCTTATTATTTGTTATATTTTTAATTTTTTATTTTATTATTATAGGTAAATAACAAGCCCGGATTATGATAATTAGGGGCCCGAGGCCAAATAATTTTTAAGCGTCCATAACCATAATCAAAATATTGATGACCAATACATAAATATATTTCAGAGGCAAAAAAAAAATTATATTCTAATTTATAAATTTATTTTTTGCTTTTTTTAATACAAAAAATAAAAATGTTATTTACATAAATAATTTTTTTCTTTCTTTTTGGGAAGCAAACCTTTTAATTATATCATTGGTATTAATTACTTCTAAAACATAACTCTCTGAACACAACACCATAAAACTATATACTATTTTATACTTGTTTTATATACGAGCTAAAAGAAGAGTTAAAAAACGAAAAAAAAACTACCAACCACCAGGGACTTACTATTGTTTGATATTCGTTGTGGGCCCAGGACCATAGCCTCCTCTGTTCCCCCCTTAATCCAAGCTTGTATATATCATAGATAGAGTCTAACATAGTTGCAACATGACATTAATATCTTATATTTTACTATCCATTTTTTATTTTGTGGATTTATACTGGTAGCTGTAGACCACATGTATGGCATGCCTGCAATAGGACATTTCAAATTTTAACCGAAAAAATCTTTAAGTTTTCAAAATAAAATTTGAATTTAAGGATTTATGGATGAAAAATATATGAGCTTCAGCCCCTAAGAAATTGCTATCAGGGGCAACTCCTCCTTTTCTCCACCTCCTAACCCGTCTCTGAATGTAGAATGCCCATGTCATTTATTTATTTCATTAGATCAAAATATTGAAAACCAATTTATGGTTTTGACAACAATTAAGGAACTTCTAGTGGTTCAATTTAAAATACGTAAATATGTTTGAATTTATAAAAAGATTACTTTGCATCAGACTTAGCACTTTTTTAAATTTAATAAATTCTTGACGAGAATAAACATTTTACATTTCATAAATTTGTCAATTTATAATTTTGAATATATGCTCCCACTGATGCAAAGTAGCTTCAATTCAAACATCTTTACATTTTTTAAATTTAATTACTAGAAATACTTTTATTTTTATCAGTAGCTTAAGTTGTTTTGATAAAAAATTAAAAGGGTGTGCCTTAACTAATGAAACACTATCAATGATTACTTTATAAATTTAAATTTAAACATAACTTGATTTGTTTTAGTATTTAGTAAAACATAACAAATTAAATTATTTAGATTTCTTTAAAGTCGTTAAATTTTCCTACGAAAACACATTTGTAATTGTCTTGAATACGAAATTGGCTATTTTATTAATGATCCATTAACCATTTTAAAAACTGATATTGAATTTTCTTTTTCACAAATGAATAATTTTTTGGGAAAGAAAGTAACTGAAAACATTCATCAATTTAAATCTCAAAAATTAACTAGAAAGTATTAAAAAGTATTTCATATTTAGTACAAAGAAAAAACAATTTGGCAAATTTGAATATACAAAAAAAATTAATTAAAATTTAGGTATACTATCCAATTTATTACAATAGAAAAATGTATTCCATTCAAAATTTAAGGGGTAAAATATACAAATTTAAAAGTAATTAAATTATATGAGTATAATTACAGGTCAAAATTACTATCAATCTATCAAGAAATGATTAAGCCATCAGACAAATAACTCAGTAATACTCTTTGAATTGTCAAACATTAATTTACTTAAAAATATTAGAAAAGTCAAAAATATAAACATGAAATCAATTATTCTTGCTTTTGATAAAGCTATCAAGTTGTGCATCTAATTTATCTTTGTTTGGCATTTTCTTTTTGTTTTTCCTGCCACCTCTATCACCACGTCCTCTGGAGTTACCACAAGTATTTCCACGTTTGTCCCGGTTACCTCTTATCCTATAAAGAAAAGAATTTGAATTATAACTATTATAATTTAATTTAAAATATATAATTAAATATATTCCATAGTGCAAAATAGGAACATACTACCACAAATACCTTTTATAAGAAATGGTGCTGATCTACTGAGACGAGTAGCAAGGTTGGCAACAGTTGATAAATCAGTTGCAAGTTCAATTTTCATAGGGTGACTTATATAATCAATAAAATTAACTAGCAATAAAATTATAAAATATTTAAAACACATACCATCGAGCGATACATTGTTATATTGACGTACTGCTTTTAATGCAGCATTTTTACTGCGAAATTCAACATCAGCTGTTCCCAAAGATCTACCAGATCTATTATAGTGAACTGTTGCAGTTTTCAATGGAGCAAACTCATTGAATAGCTCCTGTAAAAAAAAAAAAAAAAAAGTATTAAAACTAATATATAACACACAAATGAATCAAATTATAACATCCAAGCCAACACAAAACATTGATTCGCAAAACAAAAGTTAAAATATTCTTAAATCCAGAAATGGATCAAGAAATATACAAGTATAGATAACTTTTTTAAAGCCACACGTTACTTATAAAATAACTTTTTTTTTTGATTTTAATATTTCATACTTAAAAACATTTTTCCTAAATAGTAAATTTCATATTTAATTATAATTGAATATCAACAGTTATAAAATTTAAATAATTTAAAAAAAACCATATTAATATGAATATTTATAATGTATTTAATTAAAATAAACTTTGGTTGGTAATTTCATTGGCTTTTTATAGTAATATTTATTGCGTAATAAATGTATAGAATTAAGATACTATATATTGTATATTATATATACTGTATATTGTAATTGACTATACCTTAACATAAATATTAATATAAGTAAATACTTGCATTAGATCTAAAATTATCAACACTTAAATAAAACAGACATTAATAAGTATTAATAGTATAAAAATACATTAATTTAAAAATTCCTACAATTTTTATTCAAACCTGTAAATCTGTAGATGTAACTCCAAAATCCAAGTTTGATAAAACAATTTTATGAATATTAGTAACAGAAAGACCACTTCTAATTTGCTGTCTTTTAGGTCCTTCATACATATCATGGGTCCATGATGCATTTACATCGCCCTAAATAAAATAAAAATTAAATATTATATATTTTTTTATAATATAAAATTCATATATATGGTATCTATAAAAAATGAAGTACTACTGAACCTATTCATTCATTTAAATTAATATAATGTATTAATAACCACGTTTAAATAGTAATATAACAAAAAATTATACACAATACATGTGTTCACATTCATGAACATAGTTAAAATATAGTTTATTGTTGGTCCTCACAATGCTATCAGTTAATGCATTAGTCTTGATCAATTTAAGGATAAAAATTAATAGTCATTAGTATAAATTCATCATTGTTTTAGAGACAACTTTTTTTTTTTTAATTCATTAATTTTACAAAGCATTGTTACACAAAAGAATATAAAAATTTAGAACAAGCACCTTGTTATGAACTATATAACTTATAAATTAGTTGCCCAATTTTATTATAGTTCAATACTAAACAAAAAAACAATATATTAAAAAATATGTATATATACAAATAATCAACTAATTACAAGGGGGGTAGTATATAATAGTAATCAACCTAACAGAATAGACATTCATGACTATCAATACTATTTTTAATTACTTTATGTGTTAAAAATGTGGAACCTATTATTTATAAAAATTCGTCCAAAAATCCAATATTAAGTTGAAATTTTACAAACATTGTCATAAACCTTGGTGAAAAGATAATCACCAATTTTAACAAATAGTTTGTAATATATATATATTGTATCAATATACTTATATAAGTATAAATAAATAATGAATAATAATTTGTATATTTACATTGGGATTTTGTGAAAGTAAGGTTTCCAAGCTACGACCGACTGCAGCAATCGTACAATTGACTGTTATTTAAATAAGTACCCTAGCATAGTTTCCAATGTGATTGACGTGTGGGTGTGAACCAGTGCATTTTATAAGGAATTTTCACAAAAAAATGTTTTTCTCAAAATAGTCAATGTAATACCTTAGAAGGATTATAGTATTACACGTTTGTTTCGCATTATTTCACCCATTTTTTCAAAATATTGTCGACAGAGTATAATCACTGGGCGACATTTATGTCGTTAGTTAGTTATCTAACAAACTAGTTAAAAAATTAATTGGTGTGAACAATAGTTATCATGACTGTCAATTACACTGGTCTAAGACTAGTCACTCTGTGCTCAAATTTTTAATTTTTTTTTTTTTTTTTTAGTTTTACAATGTCAATGTAAATACATGAAAATTGGTCATAATTTAAATGGAAACACTAGCTAAATTAAAACTAAATTTTTTGTATACTGTGATTTAAATATCCATAAATTAACACTTCAAAAATAACTTCTTTTTCATAGTTTTATTCATTAATAGTACTAATAAAAAGAAAAGTTTTACTAACTGAATTTCTATTAAAAGATTATTTTGTAATTCATTTTCTTGCTATTTTTTCAATAATATTGTTATTATTAATGATAATTTGTTCTATTTTAGTAGTCTTAACCTATATACATTGTGTAACTACATTAACGCTTTGAAATAATCTATTGTTTTATTAACTCTTCTTTGGACTTACTACACACTTAATATTTATTCACACGGTACATTTAAAACACATTAAATATGTAAGACTACACAAACGCAAACGGTGACCGATGACTTATTTACTGGTGCTACTACATGTACATGTTATACGAATTATCGTGTATCGTGTTCGTATATGTGAAATGTAATTCAAAAACCATTTAAATAGAACACGCGCAGGGCCGTATTTAAGATTTCTCAACCCCGGGGGCAACAACATTTTACCGCCCCTCTTCCGTGAAGTGTGAAACCGAAAATAAGTGTCTCCGACCATTCATTAAAAAGCCGCTCGCAATTAATTTTCTCCATTTCAGTACACAATAGTTGTAATTAATATCAAATCCCAAAATAATAACCAAGTTATAATTACATTAATGAAGTTATAGAAAATTGTCATAAAAGACTAAAAAAAAAAAAAAGACTGATAATGGTAATCTTAAATAATTTAGTACCTTTCGGTCTAATACTTACCTATATCGCAATAAAATACCATGTCAAATAACACTCTTAAAGAGATATACATTTTGAACGCTAATAAATAATATAAATGATTTTATATTACAACGTTTAATTTTTATATAATTTTATTTGTTCATAATTTCCCAATAGGAATGCGAAAAAATCGATATTATTTTGTTTAGAATCACTGTAAAAATATTGCGGCCCCTTAAATAAATCAGGGGGGGCTATTGCCTCCCTGAACCACCCCTTGAATACGTCCCTGTAGACACGCAAGAATAAAAATTCAACGGGTAATAAAAAAAATTTCACCGAGCACGGCGACACGAAGCTATAAAACGATGAAAATAAAAGAGTTTTATTTTCTCTTCTCGGTCACATTGGTTTTCGGCCGTCGAATATTTGATTACCATTGATAACACTATCTACAGCCGTTGTTTTCGTACCGATAGCACGCCTCGTTGACCATTGACCGTTGAATTGAGATTTGATCGGTTTTCGACGGATTTCTTCTTTGGACCCGTTGTCCGCTGAAAGCCTGCTATTCGTCATTCGCACGAGCCGTGGTCGAAATGTCTGACGAAAATGAAATGCTGCGGAAAAACTTGGAAGCCCAGTTGGAACGTCTTGTCCAACAGCTCTGCGACTTGGAAGAATGCAGGTAAACTGGTCGTTTCGAACGTCCCCACAGAATCAGCTTCACATTTTTCCAATTTTCTCACGATTTTCACTACCTACCGATTATATTTCGACTGCACGTTCAGTTTTTCATGTCCCGTTATTGACAATCATGCATTAACCTGCATTGCATCACATAAAACCCATCTCACACCTTACTCGATATCTTTTAAAATATCTGCCCCATTTTTTTCATGTGAATTTAACTACATAACCGGTCTGGATTATGATATTATTTCGGATACTTATGGTCCGGTTTCTCCTACAATTTTATTATTGCTAAAAATATTTTCACTTTTATATTTAGAGTTACTTAATAATAACACCTACTGTGGCTCATTGCAATCGTAGTCTGTTTTGATTTTTTAATCGTACAATATTGCCTTGTGCTATGTGATTTCAGTATCTCATAATTAATATACATAGTTTTTCAAAATGTTTGCTGTATAAAAAAAAAAAACTTTATTCTGTGTAAATATTTTTAATTCTGAATTCGCCAATGTACTGTATGGATTTCTTGTCCTTTTCATTTCTCTTACAAATGTCATTCAAAACGAAATTTTTTTATAAAATATAGATTATTTCCAGGGCATAAATAAAACAACTTGTTACAAAGTATTATAACAATATTTCAAAGTATAAAATTGTTACTCTAAAGTCTAAGTAAAACATTTAAAAATAAATAAAATACCAACTCAAATTCAAAGCATATGAATGCAACTATCATTAAGTCTATAAAAATTCAGCATTTTTTGTATCATATCTTATTGACATATGATATAAGTATCGAAAACAAAAATGTACATTTAATATTGATATAAAATTTGGATTACAGAAGTGAAATGACCGATGATGAATATAAAGAATCAAAAGAAGACACTGAAGAACAGTTAGTAGACTTTAATGAAAGATTAAGTAAAATCACAACCGGTGATATAACTTTAATAGACAAGTTAAGCATTATTAATTTGGTTAGTATTATATTTATTGATTACTATTCATTTAAGTATTTTGTAATAATTAACAACCTAAAAAAATTGTTGTATGTAGGATAAAGAAATATTTTTATATTAATATTAATCGAAAACAATATTATATGATTGTTTTATATATAGGCAACTACTGCTGCAATAGCAAAAGCATTTCAAACACCATTTATTATAAAAATGTTTGCCAAAAACGAGCCCAATGCACTTAAAGATAAACGGAATCAAATTGAAAGAGATATGAAGTTGGGTAAATTGAACCTAGAAATTGGTAATCGACAAAAGGTAAGTAGTAATTAACAGTAGAAAAGTGATTTTAGTTGTTTTAAATATTATAATTTCTAATTTATAACTTATAATTTTTATTTTTTTGTTGATGAATACAAGCTTGAAATATTAATTGCGTTGAAACATCTTGGTTGTGAATTGACTGACAGTGACAAAATATTTATCCGCGAAGAAACAAACAAACCCCAAAACAATTTATTGCCTAGTGGTTTTAAATTATTGGAAAATGGATTTGGTATGGATTTTTCATTTTAATTCCTTTTACATTTTAAATATACCTTTAAATGTGCATTATATAACTTTTAAAAAAGTTCGTACATATTTATTTTTGAAACTTTTATTTTTCAGATTTAAATATTTTTGATACATAATTGCCATCCTACGACAGAAAGTGGCAATTTTCTTATAGTTTTACTGTGAAGATGTATTATTTATTTGTTTGTTTTAATTTAAATTTGTTACTTTTTTTTGTCTTTAAATTTTATGAAACGTTTATGTGAACTGGCATATATTTATTTTATTATGTTTATGAATTCAGTATTTTTATATTAACTTACATTTTTCTATACCAAATAAAAAATAAAATATTATAATTGAAAATTAATTTAATTCTAAGAATATTTTTTACAAAATTTACACCTCAAAATGTATGCATAGGAATTTATTTAGTATAAATTACCTACTTAAACTAATAGATGTTATTAAATTATACCAAAATTAAAAATCCTATGCATACATTTTTAGGTGTAAATTATGTAAAAAAATTTGATACAATTTAATAACATATATTAGTTTAAGTAACTGGTACTAAGTATACACAATTTTTTAAGATTATTACATTTTTACTTTCATTTTTACATTTTTACTGATCAGAATATTTAAAGTTTGTTTATGATTTTTTTTCTTTTTAAACTTCACAACCCTATATTTTTAAAAATTGTTATCAAAATATAAACTGTTGTGCTGAAACATCAATTATTCTAATAATTATAAGTCACTATTCATCAAGTAGGTTGTCATTTTAATTAATTTATTGTTGAGCATGTTTCAATACTAATACTCTGTATTTTTTTTCTTAATCTGTTAGTAGTACATTAACACCTTAGACCATTAACCCCACACATCATGTGAGTTTGTATAGATGATTTTCTTTTTAAGGTACAATACAATAACTGATTTGATTACATGGATAGAGGAGGGGTTTTTCTGGAGATAGTCGTTCCATCCGTTAAGCAAATTGTAAATAATAAATTAAATAGCAAATTACTTTTTTATAGACAATATAAAATCATAAGTTATATGTGTATTCACAATAAAACAACAGCTTAGTAGTGTTACAAACATAATTTTATTCAGGGAACTCGTTTCTCAGTTATCTATGATTTATCTATGTGAAATATTATCAATTAAATTTAATAAATTACAATGTTTATGATCAATATCATGACGGAGTTGGCGTTTAACGATTAAAACAACAAGTTTAGATGACTCTATCAGGGAAACTTTAAACAATATTATAAATATTTAAAAACAATACAGATAAATAGTAAAATTAATAAATTCTATATTAAGAAAATGTAATTGGTATAACTAAACCAATTATATTCAATATTCTAATAAATTTTATTAGCTATAAACTAATGTATTTAAGTACTGGTATAAATATTTAAATCTATTATTCTAAATACTTTTACTAACCTTGAAGCAATCTGATATTTATAGCACATACAAAAATGTGGTAGTATATATTTGCTATGATAGTGAAAACAATTTTCTCAAAAGTAATTCAATTTAAATGTAAAATAATGGAAATGAAATATTTGAAATTAAGCATCTAAATACTTTTTGGTATTTAATAATAATAGTTCCAATTCTTTTTCTTGGATTTATATAAGTACATGCAAATTAAAACTTAATAATCATACAATTTTATTGATGTTACATATAATGATCATGGTGTTTGACATACACTGTTATCATCTGCTAACTGTCCACAAAAATACGTCCAAAAAACTCAGAAATCACCTTTACGAACTCCTATGTACCATCTGTGGTGAAATTAAGCTTAATTTTTTTTTAATTATTTAACTAGATTAAAGATATATATATGAGGAATTTTGTATTAAATTTTAAAAATACTTGTCAGCATTAAAATTTTTAACCTACGTTTTAAGAAAAGATACTAAGAGAGCATGGACATTTTAATTACCTATAAAATAGCTCAAAAATATTATTTGAAAAATAACCATCTATAAGGAATGATAATATAAGCATTTAGTGAACATTTTAAGTTTTTACGATTTTTATTTTCTGAATTGTGACGAAAACAAATTCGATTTTGTCGAAAATCGGTGTACCATATAATTTTGCTATTTTTTTTATGACAATTCGTAAGTTTTCCACAGCTAATAAGAAAACTTTTGGACCGTTCTTAAAATGACCACATTTGAGTACCAATAAGATAACATTTTCTAACAGAAATCTCTTATGATTGCGATAATCGGAACAAAGCTTCAACTCGAATTCGTGGATACAGACTCAAAAAACCGCACGTCATAATAAAAGCAATAGTTTACTTAGTTTTACTCGGAATCTAAAAATATAAGAATAATTAATTATAATTTAATGTAAAATAAAATTATATTTATCATTATTATAAATATAAAATATTAATATTATTAATGAGTAAGAGACTGCAAAAAGTGTTCTATAATGTAAATATAAGGTAGGTCTATGAAAATTGACTCGCATTAACTTACTAAAATAACAACTATCCTGACCTAAATCAATTAATTATAACATTTTTTTCTTACAGTCGCTGAAGTTTGGAATACTCAAATAACTGTCGCTCAACTTTCAGGTGCTTAATTGTCAGTTCTTAATAACTGTTGGGATACTTTCATGATCACATGCTGATTGGACGGCGTGTCGTGTAGGCAATATTACTTCAGGTCGTTTGATTTTAAAATATTAACATTATAAAACGAATTTTAATAATTATTTATTATATTGTTGATTACGATGGAGAATAAGTATAACGATAAACGATGGATGAATAATTCAAGACAAAATGGTTTAACTATTAATGAATTCCACCTTCGGTGTTCGGCAAGTCTTCGACTGCGAGTTTTAAATGATCGATGGGAATAATAAGAATAAAAATAAAAGTTTTATTTACTGAGATCAATTACATAATAATTTAATACTACATAACTTACGATAATCGTATGTAACAGTGACATATCCAGTGAAAGCTTTGGGGCTGAAGCCTCCCCTCAAAAAAATATTTTATACATTAGATTATAGATTATTATAGCTGGTTGTTTTGTCATAATTATTATTACTATAATGAATGATTATTTGTTTTTTTAAATCTGATTATTATGTTAGATACACATTTATAGTTCATTAAAATAGTATACAATGACGTAGGTATTTCAAATACAGGTATTTTCGTTTGTTTAATTGCTAATCCATTATTCTATTGAATATTATTTTTATATTTAAGCATACTAGAGATTACTATGTACTATGCGGTAATAATAATTTTAAAAAAAATTATTTTTATTTGAAAAATAATAGTAAGGGTTTACTTGTGTATAAGCAAAATATGAAAAATGTATAAAGATAAAAAATAATAATTTTATTTTTGAATCAATATGGAGTTTTTATCTTAGAATATAATGGTGCTAATGGTTCATCTACTATTTATGTGTATCATACCATAATGGTCGTATGGTTAATTCCAAATGCTAATTTTGATCATTTATTAGAACGCAGTGAGCCATACCTTTTTTATAATCGGTAATATTATAATATTTTAATAATAAGGTTATTTAATATTATAAGAAATCCACAATCCTAATTGTTATTATTATTTATAAATATTTATAAATATATATTTATTTATAAATTGTTTGTTTTTACTAATTGAATGTTTAGTTCGTTTAATTTCTTGGAATTATTTACAGTAACTTTTGAATTTAGAACATTGTTTAAACCGCTTATTCTGATAATCAGCACTTTTTTATTTTCCGTTTTGATAAACGTTGTCCGTCCTTCATTTTTGTTTAGAATAGATTTTGTTATAAAATCTGTTCTAAACAAAAAATCGTGTTATTATATCATAGATGGGGTAATATTTACAATTTTCGTTTATTCTAAGACTTATAATGTATGGATGATTGATTCGTTATCTGAATCATCACATTTTACAGAGATTGTTTCTCTAAATGTAACATATAGTCATGCGTATTAACATTGAAGTTTATAAAATATTTTAGTAATCATTTGTATTTTTCTTATTTTACAGTTTTCTGGGCAATATAATTAATTTTTGTTGTTATTGTATTTTGTAGATAGATCTGGTGCTTTGAGGATACAAAGTATTAATTTTGGACATAAAAGGAAATTGTGCTCTTACGATGATATACGCAAATTGACTTTCAAAATTTATTTGTATACCATTCTAGTATAAAGAGTATTACTATTAACCCGCGCTTGTATTATAATTTACCCACGGTTTCTAATACTTTTAATCAAGTTCTACGATTCGGAATGTAGTCGCAGTAGATCATTTCCGAGTGTTTGAACAAAACTTGAACAAGTTGATATTTATTTCATTTTAATTTAAAATTAATTTTATTACGCAATGTTAATACGATATGTTAATATTTTTCAGAGAGTACCTATTGCACATTTGCATGTACTATTTACTGTACATTTATAAATCAACATTATAACACATTAACAATGAATAAGATCCTATAACAAAAATCGTCTATACAATAATATATACAATGCGTAAGATCACATTAATCTGTAGACATAATTATGATTTCAGTTGTTAACGTTGTCAGGAATCGAGTAAGACGTCAAAACGCCTCGTCGGTTGGGATTTACTCCTAAATTCTCCCAGTTGATCCATGAAAGTCGAGCAGTCAGATCTACAGAGTAAAAAATATTATTCTATAACACAAGTACATAATAATTTTATGTTTATAAATTATAATCGACAAAAAAAAATTTTGTGTTTCAGTATTTAATCGGTATGTTTGATAAAAAATCAAAAATTATTAAATAAACTATAGATTTATTGGGTTTTTTTATTATAGAGCATACATATTTTCAATATTTAAAATTTTTTTTATAAAATTTGAGTCAAAACGCATGCGTGTTCAGTGTAAAAAATAGGACATTTCGCATTTGACTATTCTAGATTTGGTTTTTTTACCTTTCCCTGTTACTTTTTCAAGTTTTTAAATAGGTAGTTGAAACAAAACTGTCGGGGGTATATGATAAGTGACGCTGAACCCGGAACTATAAAAATAAGGTAGGGCACGAATTTTTTAATTTATACCCACCAAAAACTCAATTGAATATGAGGAGTTTGGAAAGAATTGAATATTTTTCACCTCGAATTGCATGTATGTTATTTTTTCTTTTTTATAACGATTGATGTTTTTCCGAAAAAACATTTACTACTTTTATTAAGACATTAAAAAAAATAATAATAAATCCTAAGCTTTAGATCATAGGTTCTAATCAGCTTTTGACTCGTGGCACCCTAAATTATTTTCTAAAAATCGGGAAGCATCTTACAGTGGTACATCGTAAACTTGTATTTTATTTATTTGGTTTTCCTTAACAGGTGAACACGTGATTTTTATAATGCAAAGTTGTGTGACTCAAATGGTGTAGCATAAGAACATTTTTTTTATTATAAAAGTATATTTCTAGCAAACAGATGAAACGTTTACGGAAACGCTTTTGAAAACTCACGATGTGATGGGAAAAAAATTGTTAACCGCTGATGAGTGTATTCGGTAGAGATGTTTGGAGTAGAAAGTTGATTGTAGCCGGGTAACGAGTATTAGCCTAGTAAATATATCGATGAAAACACCGAGTAACCGGGTAAGGTCTTAATTATTACATCGAGTACTCGGCTATCGAGTGATTGCCGGGTGTCCGGAACATCTCTCTAGTGTTCGGCAGCGTGCGATACACACGTGGCGATATCAGCGCCGACCTTTGGTGAAAGGGGAGGAGGGCAACACGTGTATTAGAGTTTGGTTAAGTGTGCACGTCATCGGAATACAAATACGTCTTTCGTACAGACACTGTTGTAAACCAGAAAAATGTGACGTGCCCTATGTACGGGTGGTACTGTGTGCAAATCATTAAGTCCCTCTGCCGCCATGACAATCGAAACTTCGGCGAAATGAGCCGCCGAGCGGGCAGTTTAACGGGAACGCAACGCCCGAACCGTTCTTACCACTGGAAAACACTGAAACGACGCCACTGGGCGGGATACGATTAATGTTGTTATTGTTACTGACCGCTGGTGTTCCACTCGGCGCGTTCCGGTTGCCGTTCGCCGCTCAGACACCGCTGGACGTACGTCAATGGATCGCAGTCGGCCGACAGCACTTCGCGCAACAGCGCAATGTACGCGATGGCCAACCGCAGCGTGTCGATCTTGCTCAGCCGTTTCTCGTACGGGAACGTGGGCACGTGTCCGCGGAGCTCGTCGAACGCCGAGTTGATGCTGCTAAACACCAACAACGATTCGTTATACGACCACCCGTTTCCGTATATCAACAATGTCCGCGGTAAAACGTTTTCGATTTTCTTTCCTACAAACGCGATTTACTCTTCGAAAACAACACACGCAGCACACCTCGGTGTTCCGTCCGAATCGATCGATCGATGCCGATGCGTGGACGCTGCCGATGCGCGCCTATGAGTTGCCCCAGACCCGTGACGAGGACGAGGCGAACGAGTCACTTTGGCCTTTAGGCGCCTTAAGCTGGGGGGCGCGAAAATATTAAATAATCAACTTATTTTGAGAAACGTTATTTCTTGTTTTGCTAGAAACCTAACTACAACTTTTCAGATTTTTCCGAATCGTATTATACATATATATTAAAAACTTTGAGTGTGACCACCTTACAACCTGCTTCAGTTCTGCTTCAGGATAAAAAAAATGGCTTGGTACGCCTATGAGTTGCCGATCCGTACGGGTGTGGACGTCGCGTGAACGAATTCGTTTTTCTCCAATCCTCCCCGTTGCGTTACGCTGTGGTCGCGAGGGAAGTTCGCGTACTGCATTACGGACCGACCGGGGTGAGAAAATCGTTCACGAGATGTTCATATTCGTCAATAAATACACTTCATGTTGGTACGCAGAAATAAACGAATAAACAAATACTTAACCTGGAGTGTTATTATATTTGTAATGCACGACCGGTTTTGAATAAAAAATGCATCAACGGTTGCGCACGAATTCAATGAGATCGCGACTGAATATGAAAAAATAAAGAAAGGAATACGTCGAGAAAAATTGGTCGCTTTACGTTTTCAGAATCGGTTTATACGCTAAGAATATTATTTAAATTATTATTCTTCGTTTCAAATTTTGTACGTGTAACAATTCTAAAACTGAATTAATGTAAATGTTATTTTAGGTGTTAAATTTTCGCAAGTCTGTGTTGATATCAAAATGAAATTATTTTCTAAAACATGTTTAGGAAAACTTGAATACGAGCAGTTTTTTTTATTTTTTTTAATTTAATTTCACAAATATGTCCTTTAGATCTTATTTTAAAATTTCTATTCGTATTACAATTAAAGTAATGTTTATATATACCAGCATTTTCAAAAGAAGAGGAAGTTTTTAGTTCTATTGTTTACATGTTTGATTAAATCAATATTAATTTTAAAAGCGATTTTTTCATTCTTTATACTATACACCTGATAATGCATTTTTAATTCGAAAAGCGTAGTACGTAACCAACATAATAACACTCCAAACTAAGCATTTATTTCGTTATTTCTTTATACGTATTAACTGTTTATGTATTCACTTACGAGTATTAACCGTTTACTAAATGGAAGCGTGTGTGTGCGCGCGCGCGTCAGAGGCGTGTCCAGGATATCGTTTCGGAGCAGAGTTTACGTTTCGGTCCGGATTCGGAATAAAAATCATTCAAAAACGACCGCCAAAAACCGTACCCTCGGCTCGCGGCCGTTGGACGAGTGCGCATGCGCGCGCGTGTGTGCGCCGCGTCAGGGCCTTACATTTTGACCGGCGTCGGCCTATCCGCTGCCCGAGTCGGCGCCAGGTCTGACCTCAACATCCGTCTTCGTTCCCGTATGTTGGCCGCTTGCCTCTGCACCCTGTACCCTCCGCCGCCGGCCATGACGCCCACGCCTTGTGCGTCCATCGCCGTCACCACCGCTGCCGGTCCCGTCGCCTGGTGATGATGGTGCCCGTGACCATTCCCGTTGCTGTTATGGTGATGGTGGTGGTGATGGCCGTGGTGATGGTGATGATGATGGCCTGCCCCGGCACCACCACCGCCGCCGCCGCCGCTGTGGTGGCCGGCCCCGCCGACGCCGTCGCTCACGTAGTATCCGTCGGCCGCGACCATATTATGCCGACCCATCGACCCGGCCGATGACAATTCGCCTGCCAACACCGCACGAATATTTTTTTATTCGAATAAAATACGTAAACTCGACGGTCAATTCGTTTTCGAACACTTAACCTCGAATTAAATTATACGTGTGTCATACGTGTGAATGTTTTACACGTATACACGCACTTAATCGGGTTTAAAGGAAATTATTTTTTTATGATTTTTTTTTTTTTTTTTTTACAAAACGCGCATTTAACCGATAAATAATAAATCAACAATGCGTCTTTCAATTGTTTAAATAATTTCCATGAAATACATAGGACGAACTGAAAACTAAATAGTCAGTGCTTCACAGTTCTATGGCACTATTAAGCATAGTTAAGGCCGGTAACCAGTTTACAATTTTTACTAAACGCTTTTACAACAAAAGTCTCGGAAAGATTTCACGGTTAAGAGTGTACAAGTGTACTTATTGCCTTAGCATACTGAACGAATATCAAGGATTTTATTTTGTAAGAGTTACGAGTAGTATTTCATTTTTTTATTTCTTATATTGTGATAAATTGTAATTATACAACTAGAAAAAGTTTTATTTGAGTTTTATTTAAATGTTTATTATTTAAAATTTCGACCACTCTGACCTATTCTGAAATACAGTAGCAAAATTACGATTATATACTTGGCCTTACTTTGTTACCTTTACCGATAAATTTATCATAATTATATAATCAATATCGTGATTACGGCAGTGCTTCGATGTTTATCAAAATAAAACTTAATGTTATAATTATGTTAATTTAACAGACTACAGTTAAAAAAAAAAAAAAATTGTAAGTTAGTTTTACCTAGGGAGAAATAATATCAAGAAATAAATGAAAAAATAGTGAACGGAAACCAATGCTACCATGGTATAAGGAAGATACTAATCATAGATGCAGTTAGAGGGGCGCAATAGAATTTTTAGCACCCCTGAGTTCAATTGCAGCACTCCTGTTTTTTTTTCTTCATATATATGTAATCTATAGTAATTACAGAGGAATACCATTCAATTTTATTTTCAGAAATTTCAGTACCCTATAGTTGCGCTCATGCTACTAAAATCTAAATTACTATCAAGAAAGTCAAATTAATTACTCCAAACAAACTATCTGAGACCATGAATTACACATGTGTATGAAACATAGTTTTCAACGAAAGGTGATAACAGCATACTGACAATATTCTGAAGAAAGGTACTCAAAAACATGTTTGGTCCAATATAAAATACAGAGTTAGGAACATTTGAAAGGAGGAAAAATGACGTTCTATATAGACTAAATATATATGTATAAAAACTTAATATTTTATCATACATAAATAATAATGAATCATGGTCCTTTAGCAACATTTATATCTTTAAAATTAGCGTAATGCGTTTGGGCGAATTACCTTTTTTTTCCGAAAAAGAAAAAAATGTGTTTGGGCAAGTTCCATATAATGTGTTTAAGGAGTGAGTATAAAATTTTTGTTATTAACTATTGGACTTTCTGTATGTTATAAATCAGACAAGACAAAAAAAATTGTAATTTCTCCTTTGTAAGTAATAATATTTTATCAACTTAAAATTAATGTTAATGGCTTTTTATGGATATATACTTTACTATTACATTTATAAATTTCGGTTTTTCTCGAACATTAGAAACGCAAACTCGTTTTAATTTTAGTTTTGGGTCATCGTTATAACATTTAATTTATTAGTTAAACAAACATCGATCTTAAAACTGAAAATTTGTTTTCTGCAAAACGAAATAAAACACGTGTTTCGATTGAAAATTATGTTTTTAGCGAATCCAATCATTTGAAAAACGGATATTTTCGTTTTCGATGTACCAAACGAAAATGTTCTATGAATGTTATAATGAACTCGTTCGTCAATGATATATAGTATTATAAATAACAAACAATTTACATAATCTTAAATCAATTACAGTTCAGTTTTACAGTTAGCTGTTCAGTGTACTAAAACAGCCGTCAAAAGGAAAGCCGAAGAAGATTTACAGATTTACATGCAAGACCAAATAACATTATTCCTAAAGAAATTCACGAATCTAATCCAGTTTATAAGGTGGCTATACTTCATAGTAACATTAAATTATTGAGAAAATCGACTTAAAGAATTCAAAATAAATATTTTTCTAATATTCCAAAAACTCAAATCTATATTAAAACTTATAATAAATAATTTTGTTTTGGCAATCGAAAAAAAAAAAATTAATATTTTGTTTACATGTACTGAAAATTTAAAACAACTATGTGAGTCTGAAAATATTTTTGGCGATAGCACATTTTAATCAATTATATACAATTATATTACATTCCTTTATTATTACATCCTTTATTATTATTATTATTATTATTATTATTATTATTATATTATATTTATTAATTTATTATTTTTTGACGTCAAAATCAAAATAACATAACACTTCTATGTGGTTGAAAATAAAAAATGCTATATTATACTCAATTTAAGGATACTTGATACATATATTTTAGATGATTCTATTTTCCTCTTATTTATGGCTAAGAAAATCTATGAATGATCCTAGAATAACGAATGGAGCTGAATTATTTTATGTATTATCATAACCATAATCATTCCACACTATAACGCTCAATTTTATTCAACTAACCCAAATACATATCAAGTAATAGATGTCTTACAACAAATTCAAGCAGAAAGCAATACAAAATGTAAATCTATTAATAGAAATATTCACAACATTCAACGAAAAGTTGTAGTAGAAAACATGAATAATTAAATTCCATTTTTAATCATGTCCGCGGAAGTCACGGACAGTCCAAATCTGTAAAAATGAGAGGGAAAATGGATTGATAGTAAATCACCTAAACACATTACAATATTTTAAAATAACTCGCCTAAAAGAATTATGATAAATGGTCCAAACACATTGCAATTTTTAAAAACTCGCCCAAACCATCCCTTTTAAATGAAGTCTTTCTAATAACTAATAAAATATTTTTTACCACTTTTTTATTTTTTTGTTTTATCAGAATCGGCAAAAGTTTAATGATAAAGAGTCAATAAATCATGCGGGTTGTAAGCCGATAACCTTATGTCCATTGCATATCATCCAAGTACCAACGTTAAGTTTAGAATATAATATTTTTGACAATGAGATATTTGATATTTTTTTTTTCTTGTACCACAGACAAAAGCATGATGAAAATGACAATAGATTATAAAACAATAGAGGACTATTAATCGTCGTTTTAATTATATTTCAAAAGCCAACACGGTTCTTATATAAATAGCTGTACTTGAATATCTAGGTAAAGTGACATAACTAGTTGGCGGGAGGACTTAATTATGGAATTTATATAACTAAATATTAGTATTTTATAATTAAACAACATTTCGTAAAATAAAATATGTTATTGTATTATGAGGATCTGATTGAAGTCCGCCGTTTCTTCGGTTATAAAAATAAACCTAAATAAAATTTGTAACGACATATTTAACGCCGAAATAATTGTTTACCTTGTCTTATCGAAGTTCCTACAAAACACGAAGAATGTGACGAAGAATTGTGATGTGCAGCTCTGTATGTGCAGCTGGGCAAATTCGAGTCATCTCCATCGCTGCAGCTGTCGTCGTCATGCTGCTGTTGTGTTTGACTTGTATTGTTGGCCAACATGAAATCCTGCGTGAAAGTTGAAGTTTTACTGAAATCAAAAGCATCGGTGACGATATTATTATAAATACACACAAGATAATCGATCGAAATGTATTTTCGACGTTTTGACGGAGCACAGATTAGATTTAATTATCAGCTAATAACAAACCGTAAAAATCATACGCTTCGATGTATGCAAGACAATATGTGATGAATCTTTTATATTCAACGAAAAATATACAAAAATAATTAACAAAACGTCGATCCTTCAGCGACTAGTTATTTTTTTATGTTGAGACACAATGTGTGAATATATTACTTGCTCCATAAAATATTATTTCGCGTTCTTATAATGTACAGTCGTATAAACCGTCAGCGGCAGTGATACTATTATATTATGGATGCTCGAAAAGGTATAAAAAATAAATAAATGATTAAGTTTTCAAAAAATGATATCGTAGATATCACACAGATATTTTATTAAAAATTGAAACTTCAGACTGTCTACTAATCGAAGAATTATTCAAATTTTCATGATTTCAAAAATTAATGAGTTATATATTATTAAATAAGCTAATTCATTGATCAATTGATTAAAACTTTCTTTGTCTCATACAACGCTATCTATTAAATATTTTAATATTATTATATTTCGAATAAAAAATAGAAATAGTTTTATGAACATATACAAAATTATATATATATATATTAAATAAAATCATTAGAAAATCTAGAAAATTAATAAAATTTCAATAGAAATCCAATATCATACTGAGAGTCAAATTTCCATTTTATTATTTAAATAAAAATTTCGGATAATTAAGGAAATTAATTTCAACTTCATAATAATTTACAAAAAAAAAAAAAAAAAAATACAATTTTATTGATATTATTATTATATTTTAAGCATTTTTAAAATTGACTATACCTATATATATACCTATATACCTATAATTATATTTATATATACTTACATTTTTTAAAAGTTGAATATATACGCTATATATATATAAGTACAATTAATAACAAATAGTAAATACTCATTAGTAATATTATTGTATAAAATAACTAATTACTTGTATTTATAAATTTATGATATATAACAACATTTTTTGTATTAAAATTGGTTTTTAAAATAATATATTACAAAAATATGATAACATATATTTGTATTATTATTTATCACAGACCCTAAGACATGAAGTCATAAATATTCATTGGATTATTAAAGGTATTCGAAACTCAACAAACTGTTTTTTCAATTAGTAAATTATAATTAGTTTTTAATGTGTTAATTTAGTTAGTAAAAATTACTTCTTACCAAAATGGTAATTCCCTAAGAACTAATTTCAATGCATTTCGGCGGATATTAAGAGTATAAACTATAACAGTATAATTGATGTGTAATGTAACTAAAAAAAAATCTAATTTCCTATTCGTTAAATTTGTAAAATATAAATAGAAAATATAAAAAAAATGTTTTTATTTAACAAAAAAAAAAAAATAAAATAAAAACGAATAGTTACATTATAGTATAAAAATGTTATAATTTACTTTGGTCATGGTTTATTTCTGAGAACAGTTTGTTTTCTTTATTTTCTAAAAGTTTTTGAGTACTAATTAATAATTCCTATTTACTTATAGCAGAGTGATGGAGAAGATGACGAGGAATCGGCTTTGGTGGTCACTACATGTCCGCCACTCCTCAGCAAGTCAGGTGATTGTTGCTGATGCTGTTGCTGCTGTTGATGATGATGATGCTGGTGAAAACCGTAAATGTTATGCATGTCCGGTGATGGTGTCATCGTGTTATGGTTCATAATAACAATAGTGTTATTGTTAATCATATGATGTAATTCGTATAGAAGAACATTAAGACAAGCTAAATATTATAGAACGACAAAGAAGAAAGATTTCTAGTGAAATTGTTTTTTTTTTTAAATAAAAATTTGAAACCGTCCGTTTTCGACGAACGAGGTCATACGACTAACTGCGATTATCAAAAGGTGGCGGAGACTCGTTTAAAACTGTGTCGTCGCTTCGCGTAGAACTCACCCCATAGGGGGTGGAGCAACAGCAATACCCAGGAAAATGGCGGACCATCCCTTTACGCCTTGAATTAATCGTGCCTGCATCTGAAAGCTTGACTGCTGCAAGTTATTTCTTTTTATCTCTGTGTTTAATTTACAGTCGAACGGAGAAAAAACAATTTTTCAGAATAATTAACGAATAAAAAAATTCTTACCCTTACTCAAAAAAGTAAGTAACTAAAAATATAGTGATTTAGAATTTAGTCCTTGCATAAATTTCGAAATTCGTAACTTATTTGGTTATTTTTTATCCATACATTTACGAATACACGCAAATAGAAATATAAGAATTAATATATTACAGATGTTCTGTTAGGTGCTTAATACTAACTTAACCTATCGAACTGACGAATTATCTGACAACAATTATTGATCATCATAACTTACAGAAATTTGACTTAAGTGTCACCAAAAACATCTACACATTTAAATCTTATAGTTATACATTGATTTGTTCAACACATAAGCTTACTTTTTAACCTCGCATAGATCACCTTTATGAGCCGTACAATTGATTTTTTTCTATTTTTAAATGGAAAAATTGGTTATCTTATTGGGTATCAAAATTATAAAATATAATTTCATCAACTATGTGTTCTGTGTAAATGAAATAATATTTCGAAAATTACTTGCAGCTTAATATATGTACATATTTAGTTAAAATGTAATCATTTTCTATAGATTAGTCTAATTTAACTTGCATGATCCCTCAGCGCCCATGGTTCAACGACTTGAGGATTTCTAGAAAATTGATCGTCGCCATCACTCGCCTTCGAATGCACTACAGTCTTCTTCCTCACCATAACTTTAAGCTCTCTCTTAACTCATTTTTTCTTTGTACTCGACATCACATTTACACTCTCTTCGACTTTAAACATATCATCTTTCAATGTCTTTCTCTCCTTCCTAGCCAACATCTCCTTTTCTCATTCCTATTTTCTTTTGGTTAAATCACTCGCGACGCCAACCTCCTGCTGAATTCTCACTCCATTCCTATCATACATGCCATTGTTAACTTAATTTATTCCTCTGGCTTCTTAATTTAATTCATCTTAGTTTATTTATTTATTTATTTTATTAGTATCTACTATTTTTGTTTATTTGATTGCTTTGCTGTAATGTTTTTAATGAAGGCAAAATAAAAATAAAAATATAAAATAAAACTTAAATGACACCCTTGTACCTGTTGTAATTTATTTATATGCTTGCCTATTGTTTATCAACAACAATTTAAGTTCAGTAACAAACGTATGGTTTTAATTTTCTTTTGATGGTTTTACGATATATTTCAGTGAATTATATATTTATAATACATAGGTTATTGAAAATAATAATCTTGTACGTTTAATTAATCAAATTCGCTTCAATGAAAATTAGTGTATTAAAAATTATGCAATTTACATATGAATAATCTTTGTGAAGAACCAAAATGATATGGTGAATTATTAAGAGAAGATATACAAATATAGTTTTAAATGGAAATAAACTGAAATGCTAAATATTTTTACTTCGTCGTCAAGTTCATCGCAGACATTGCATTTTTATTTCTGTTGGAATTACATTTTTGACAGTTTAAATATAGGCTATAATGTCCCAATCATTAACCTTATTTTAAACACAAATGTTTGAACGCTGTACAGTACTACCTATTTGTAACTTATTTAAAAAATATGATTACATAATTAAGAATTTTGAATTTAGAACAAGAATTTTTAGTTCACTTCATTACATATATAGTTCAAATAAATTATAAGTAACAATAACTTACTCATATAACTTATTCGATATGATAAAATGGCGTCGGACATTTTACATTATTTCACAAAAAATATTTAACGGTTAGAAAGAATACATTTTATACAATTTATATCTTGTCCTTTAAAATATTACCCATTTATTGTCGAAACGAATTCGCATTCAATTTCATTATATTATTTTATACATTCTATCAGTTTTTTAAATGATGATAATATTTATGCGCTCTATTATCGTATTTCAATTTGTTGGCGTTTGATTGGTAACATATAATAAATCTACCATACATGAAACGTATACAATTGCATGTTCAGTTCAAATCGTTTGATATAATATATTTTCGGAGAACGTAATTGTTGTACAAAGCAATAAGTACATGAAATATACACTTCACAGATGTGCGTTTGACGTACGCCATAAAATAAACTCCTAAGTATAGTGGTTGGTGTACGCAAGTCAGAAGGAATAAGGGCGGTGGCACCGCTTCGCGAATCGACCTGTCATGTGCACGCCAACGTACTTTAGACATATATACTGGAATTGATCAATACAGAAATAAACTTTCACGAGTGCGAAAAAATATATATTATATAATAGTTGGTGCATTATTTGTATTTTCTTATTTTATTTCGCGTTCGAATATGTACTATATGAATACATTTTTATTTTAAATTCAATATTAAGATATTATGCTATGGCGATACGATAAAAAAATATTTTTAAGATTATAAATAACTGGTAAATAATATTATACTGATTGCTAACGTTCTTCTGTTATAAGAAGTCTAAATGATCTTATTAATAAATCAAGGATTGAACCCCTAACGACTTTAAGGATTTCGGTTTCGGTTCCATTTCTTTAAAATATAAAATCTCGGTTCCAATATTTGAATATAAAAGACTAAGATTTCGGTATCGATTCCGGTTAAATGAGATTTTTACTGGTTTCATTTTTTTTTTTTTTTGTTAACAAGAAAAAAAGTATATAACATGCATTTCAATGTGAAATATTGCACTTTTCTACTAAAAAAAATCTTAATCATAGGAAAATAGTACAAAATTATTTTAATTATGAAATAAAATTGTACGTATCTAGGAGGATTTTACTATCAAGTTAAATGTATGTAAAAATGTAAATGTAATTGTATTATTTTTTATCACAAACCCTAAAAGCTCTTATAATAATTATACTTCGCTTTTGGTCTATATCTTAAGATTAATTCCAAAAATGTTACTACAGATAAAATATAAATAAAATATCATATAGGTAATTAATATAACAATCACAAGACTATAAAATTGTTATAGTATTAAATTATTATTACATCATTTAAAAAAATGGCAATTTATGTTAAAAGAATTATATCAAAATAAAATATATTATGTTTAAATATTATATTAGTGTATAGGTAATATATATAAATGAGAAAAATCATTTTTTTTTTTAAGTTTTGTTAAGAAATCTTTTTGACGTTTACTCATTATACTCATACTTATGTGAAATTGTAAACTGTGATGTTTGATCATACTTCAGTGGCATACCTGTGGGGGCTAACAGGAGCATTCCCCACCTCCGAGAAGTTTTTTGATGCCATAATGCAAAATAATTGTTCAGCTTAAATAATGTAAATTATAAATATTTTTAATTTTCACTGATTATAATCATGTTTGATATCAAAAGTTTCGGAATCACTTATCAATGTAATATAAAATATCAATATTCGACCAAATTGGTATAATTGAACTATATGATAACTGGAATGCTTACTAGCCATATGAACAATGTAAATAAAACCGAGCGACCGTGATAAACAAAGATAACAAATATATTAGGTAATGTTTTCTCTCTCTTTGTATATTATTCTATTCAACAATTGAATGTAAATCAAAAATCTTATTGATTTAATCGGTTTTAATTTAATATTGTATTTTATAATTTGTTTAATACCTAATCAATTTATATTTACGTACCTTAGGTACGTAAATATATAATAAAATATAATAAAATGGTTAACTATTGTAGTGCCTATAATTGCACAAATTCAAGTGATATTAATAAAGGATTAATTTTCCATAAGTTCATACTTAAATTATTTTAGAATATAATACCTATGTATTATTTGCTATTAAGTTGCTTCATTGATTTTACTTAAAACTTCAATTCTTAGTTTTTTTAATTAAAATACCTAATTATATATTAATACTAATACATTATTATATAATATTAATACATTATTATATATTATACAAAGTAAATTATTTTAAAATTACCATTTTGTATTAATTTAAATATTTAAATAAATGTACGTGTGCACCTATGCAGACTGCTTTTATATTGAATAATAATCCAATATCTACAAACAGCAAACATAATTTTATCCAGTTAAATCTAAAAACCTTTATAAAAAAATATATATTTATAGTGATGTTTAATATATTTAATATGAGGGAAACATCTATTCTCTCCAATATAAATGCCACTAACAAATGTCTGTAATTATTAATAATTTTTAGTTTTTTGGTTCAGAAAATTATTTCTATCACTGACACTACATACATTCATTAGTACTTGATACGTGGTAGTTTAAGCCTTCAAGTTTAAAAATAATTATTTGATAATCAGTTTTGTTTTCAAACACATATTGCAACAGATTCACGGTTTTAAATACCTTAAAAAATTTGTTCAATCATTTTTAATTGAAAGCAAAACGATTTTTAAATATATTTTCCTATATAGCAGTACATGTTAGACAAAGAAGGAAACACCTAATTGATATGCTATCTTTTTTTAACACGATCGCTTGGGCAACACTGTCTAGTGAGCGTTCCAGTTATCATATAATTCAATGATTAATTTATTATTATGTGATGGTCACATATAATCACTATTTTATAATGTGGTTATCATTGATATCAAGTGATCAACAAGAGTTTTAAATATTTAGTAATAATTTATAGTAAAGTTTCAGATTATGTTATAACTATAAAAAATTGTGCAATTAATATATGCCCCCCCTCAAAAAAAAAAAAAAATGTTTCACGGGTACGCCATTGTCTTTCTTAGTACTAAAACATATTTTATTTATTTGTTATACATTTAAGTTGGAATTAAATCAGTATTTAAATTACAATTATATTTTTATAGTCATTACTTTTTTTGTAG